TAATATTTTGAAATGGTGAAGAAACTTTGTATCTCAAGTGGATGATTTTGGTGTTGTATTTTGTTCTCAGAACTGATGATTTTCAGAAGAACGATCAAAGCTCCATGACCAAAACATTCAGCTCAGAGAACAAAGCGCCATCACCACAGAGTAACAATGAAGAAGAATACCCTACACAATGATTAACTGTTATGATTATTATTCTTTTCATCCCCTAAGGTAGTTTAATTCACATGTTGATACACTTAAAACTAGTAAACTTAATGACAAGTCACTTGAAATAAAAAGATTGTCAACTTCTAATTATCTTTATATGCTACCGATTTCTCAATACGATGACGTTTAGATGGGAATACTTTTAGGAGTTAAAATACTTTCAGTTTTATTCGTCAATTATCATTTATGTATAAAAAAATACATAAATTTTCCCAGAGTCCCTCTCGGGTTTGTGCTAGTCCCAAGCTCGGATTTGAAAAGAGGGTTGGGCATGGGGTTGTCTACCCCTGCTGCAGAAAATTCACTCGCTAAAAAGACGCTAACCAAAAAATATAATTCAAACTATTTTAACTATGCCCTAAAAGTTTGAAGGTCTTCATTTAGAAAAGTTATGATGTCTCATGATGAAAGCCTATTTTCTTCGAGGGTCATGAGTTCGATGCTTATTCTGACAACTACAGCAATCAATAATATAAGTAAGTAATCAGAGTACAAACATCTGAAGAATGAAAAGTTAGTTTTCTTATTGATAAGCATATTAAGGAGCAAGATCTGGATCTTATTTTAGACAAATAATTAGAAATGCTATTACATAAATCTTTCACCTAATTTCTGTATGTCATTCTTAAGTTATTCCATACATTCATTTAAGTAGATAGACAATAAAGAGAAGCATAGTGGAGAAGGTGATTGAGTCAACTCATTATGGTAAGGCATGACTAAGTATTCATAGTCAATCAACTGACAATAATGCGTGATCATCTTACATTGACTCCCGATGCTACCTTCCTCACATTGGATATAGCTGAACTCTACCGGTTACAGCAATTATGAGAAGGTAATCACTAGTGATTATCTTCGTGAGGAAATTGTCGGAGTTCTAGGGATAAGCCGTGGCCAGTAGAGTTCAACCCTGTTGGGTGTCGGTAGTTACCTACCGAAGACAGTGAGTGAGGTTGCGCAGAATCTTAAACTGATCAGAGTTAGATATTACCACTGTTCGATGCCGGTTCAGTGATCTACAGGTTAAGCACTATCGCAACAGAAGGAAGGTCCTGAGTTGGAGTCCCGAAAGCGGAGGTCAGGGATGCGCTTTGCTGCTCGTGAGTCTGATACTAGGACTAAACAGCTCTCCAGTGCTTTCTGGTTTCTACTAGTGGTATAACATTGATCAATCCATGATTTCAAACAAAAACAACAATCGCCACAACTTTATGATGAATAATGTAATTCTTATTATTATCTTCCAACAACAACTAACCTTTAGTTTCTTTTATAAAACTTTTTGAATCAAGCCAAGTTTGTTCATATTCTTCTTCATCTGCAGCTTTTTGTACATAAAAACAATTCACAAATGTTGCAAAAATATTCATTGAGATTAAAAAACAAAAACAACCAATTACTACTGGTAAAAATAACTTTTTCAATCGATCTACACAACCTTCCGGATAAGCCAGATTATATGGAATGACATAAGGAAGATTATTGATTTCAGGTGATGATGATTGTGTCATTAAATTGGTGAGTTTGTTTTTAGTCAATTTTGAAGCATTATTACATTGTGCACTTGTATAAGTTTGTAAATCACAACATGAATATGGTACATGATGTTTAGGTATTGCTTCATTCGCTACACCGTAATCACCATAAGCTATTTTTAAAGAGTATAGAAAAGAGGTAAAAAACATAACGGTTAATGAGATGATAAGAAGTATACAAAAATAACTTGATATTTCTAGTGAATACAGAAATGAGTAGGATTATGATAATCGCTTGTGCACGCCTGTTATCTCTAATGGAACATAAGTCGCAGACCATCATTCTCCACAACGAACTTTGTCCCAGTTCTTCCTTTCCACTTCAACCCAATCGCTATTCATTTTTTTCATGTCTATCTCCAATTCTCGGTGTTGTGTGTTTCTTGTTCTACCTTTCCTTGTGATGAATTTGGGTGATTTCAACAATCTGTGTCCTTTTCACCTCCTGGGCTAGTTCCTGATTTCTTCTTTAGCTGAAATCAGGTTTACTCTCACCCACAGAAGGTTGTTTGTGATGGTGTCTGACCAACAGATCCTCAGAATTTTGCATCGACAAGTGTTTATAAATACTTGTATTTCCTACTTCTCAAAGTATCCAGTCTATACAATAGAACAGTTTTGACATTTGTATTGAAAACTGTAACTTTGATGTTAGTTGACAGTGTATTTAAGTCACAGATGCTTTTCGCTTGTAAAAATTCTGACCTTGCTTTGCAATTCCATGCCTTCACGTCTGTATCAGATCCATCTTGTTTATCAATGATGCTATCCATATATGTGACATGTTTCCAACACTTGAAGGGCTTCTCCATCAAATGTGATTTAGCTGATGTTTGTTATGCTGATACTCATGATCATGCTTCATTTAATCATCCATAATATATACACAGCAAACATTTGGTAGATGTGAACAATGCCTTTTAAATCACTGACTTGATCTCACTAAATATACATCGCATTCTTTATATGCATACATCTTTCATATTTAGTTGAAGAGATAGTGATTTATCTGAATAAATCAATCCTTTGTGTCCTTTATAAAGTTTTACTACCATTCTCCCTTATTTAGCCAGCATATTAGTCAATATTCGAGTGAGTTACAGATGACTTATTGGTTATTTCACTCCATCTTTTAATCACTTTGTTCATTATCATAGATTTGACTATTTCTGATTCGCATGACTGAAAGACATTTGTATTTTCAGGTCAACACTTACATTGTTCGTTCATGTTATCATGTGAGTTAGTGACTGAACATTTTTTGTTACAAATGTTTGTAATCTGTATAACTTGAAATCGAAAATATCGACGATAAGTATTTTTCCGTACAATATCGACTTAAACATATAACTCGACAGATTGATACCTGATAAATATCAACAGTTCAATTATATAAACAGTAAAACGAAGAAGAGATTGAACATTTCTTCACTATAAAGCTTTTTTATGATTATGTTACTTAACCAATTTATAATATTTGCAAAAGTCATGATATCGAAAAAGTTATAAAAATGTTTTTTATTGTAGTAAATTCTGCCTAGAACGTCTCTGGGCTTACTGCCGGTCCCAAGCCCAGATAAAAGAGGAGGGTTAGCTAGCCCATCCGGTAGAAAATTAACTAGCTAAAAAAAACGCTAGCCAGAAAAACATAATTCAAAGTAAGTGCAGTAGGTCGTATAGTGATTTTTAACCAACTTTAAGAATTGTTAATTATTAGCCAAATCAAGTTATTGTAACTGATTTATTGATTACAGATTTGTACATTTAGCTTACAAGTGGACTGTTTACTTCAAAATTATTATTACTATCTAACTGCCTCAACTAAATTAGCTTGTTTACAAAAAATTAACAGTCAAAACAAAACTAATAGAATTTCAATTTTAAACAACAAAGAAATCACACATGAATAGTTAGATTCAGTTAAATCGTAAAGCAAAACTTACATCCTCTACCACAACAATGCAGAGCTTCTTGTATATTCGCCATAACTGTTTTATCTTCAAAACCAGGTTGAAACATTTGTACAGCAAATGTTACGCCAACTTCTAAATGGGTTAACCATTGTGATAGTATAGTATAGAGTATACCACTTTCTAATACTGCTAAAAATACCAAAGCGAATATCTAGAAAGAAAATAAATAATTATATAGGAATCAGTTTAAAGACTAATCAAACTTTCTATAAAAAGGAATCAACATTCACCAAGTGTGTATACATACGTATTTGGATACTGGTCTAATGGTCTAGAAGTTGGGCATTCGCGCTCAAGACCGAAGGTTCAGGGTTCGAATCCGGCGAAGCCCATGGCCAGTTGAAACAACTGAAGCCTTAAAATTCACTTCAGAAACCATAAGCTGGACAGTATAGCTGTGACAGTTATTCGATTTATGAATTCAACACGAACCAAGTGTGTATGCATATGTGAATGGATACCGGACCAGTGGTTCAGAGATTAGGCATTCTCGCGCAAGACCGAAGACCATGGATTCGGATCTTGTGAGGTGCAGAAGTCATGGATGTTCACTGCTGATGAGTCTTATACCAGATCGAAATAGCGGTCGTTCATTACTTCTAGGTTTCTAATGGTGATCTAACTGATTGATGATTTCAAAGTTAAAAACCATGTACAATGTGAACACTACTAGATTTTAAATTTGCGGTCATAAAGAGTTCACATTCAAACAAACATGATTTATATTGATTACTATCCATTGATCAGTTATTCAACATCATTTGAAATAACCGAAATTTAAAACAGGTAATAAATCATCTATACAGGTCAACAAATTAAATTTAAACATTTTATTCAATATTCATTTTGGCCTACATGAATTCTGTACAAAACACATTGATCACTTTCTAGTTCCACTGTCAAATTTATCATATCTACGAGCATTATTATCAGTGGTGGATAATGGCTAGCAATAGTACTTGTAATCTTAAAGGCAATATTGACACAGTCCGCATAGAATGTTCATATTTGAAATGAGACTGATCAATTCCAGTCCTATCACATCAATGGTTAGGATGATTCAAGCAACCAATACAAATGAACTGCCATATCTAGATGTAATGTCTGTTTTATCAATACTAAGGCTAATTATATGAAACAGCATGAAGTAGAATCTATTTTATGCCGGCTGAAAAACAAAACACATGATATTTATCATTTAAAGACATAATCTGATTGATTGGTCCATTTCGTCTGATTCATGAGTTAAATGTTGTGCATTCTCTGTTGATTCAATTGAAATGAGCTACATTTGTAACAGTCTTTGTGACTTAAGGAAAGTTTCACACGTTCGTGAGTGACTGACTTCCTATAAGGCTGATATATTTATTTTGACTGATCAATTAATATTAACTTATATCTTCTCTTGTCTACTACTTGGTGTTAAATGTATTTTTATTCATTTCGTTTAGGTGGGCTTCTTGTCATCTTACACTAAAACATATTAGACTCCATGTCAAGTCCAATGAATTTATGGTCATATCACAAATTAAATGATAGAATTCATTTAGCTGTAAAGACTAGACAAAGATTATGTTGACGAAAGATGATTTCATTTCCTACAACCGTACTGATAGTTAGTTCATTTGGTAAAAAGAGTAGCCTAGAGTAAAATAAAATGGTGTAGAATAATTGTTAAAAATATATAACATTTGCTACTACTTGCAGCAAACCTTAATTTATTAGTACTACTACTGTTTACGCCTGTTACTCCCAATGGAGCATAGGCTACCGACCAGTATTCTCCAACCTACTCTGTCCTCAGCTTCTCTTTCCAGTTCTATCCAATTTTTGTTCATTCTTCTCATGTATGTCTCCATTACTCAGCGTAATGAGTTCCTCAACCTTGAGGGCTCCAAGTTAGGGCTTAACTTGGGGTGCAGTTGGGTATTACATAAAGAGACCTGCCATGTATACATTGTGTCAGTACTAGGGGGTGCATGTTTGCGTTTCAATTCTTTTATCTAATTCTCTAATTGGTTGTATACACGGCCGATCAACAACTTTAAATCCACATATTGATTACCACTCATGAAGCACACAGGCATGCTCCTCACTTACTATTCATCAACTTATTCACTCGCTCTCTGATGTGCTCGACTCTCACTCGTCTTGTGGATTCTATTATTCGTTAACACTACATATTAACTACATTAAATCGGGAGTTTTGGTTCCTAATTATTCTCGAATAAATTCATAGAAGTAATAGGAGAATTAACCTGCTAAAGTACACCCCACTGACGGGACGATCTATTGGAGTCAAAAATATATGGTGAAAATAGCCACTACATACTAACCCATCTATGTCATTCAAAAGAGCTTACAAATAAAGTACTGATCAGAAGACATGAAGCTTATGAGTTCAATCTCCTGTGAATCATGTATGTATAAGGATGAAATATTACACACACAGAAAACAACCCTTACTTGTCCTCTTTGGTTTATATATTAGTTCTTCAAGGAGGACAGACAATTTATATGAACCACTGAATATATATAAGTCTAACATAGATAATCTTACTAAAATATAGCTAATCTCATCACTACAGCAATTACTAATAATTGTCAAGAAAACAAAACTGTGTAATTACTTTCTACATTTATGCATAATAATAGTTGAGAGACAAATGCATCAGATCATAACTTGATTGTTTACAAGAAACTGTAAGATTTGGGAAAACAAATCTATTCAATTTAACAGTAATCACTTTTTGACAAAAAAACACTAATTGAAAATGAAGTGTGAAAATGTAATTACATCACTGGCTAAATTGACAAATGGTTGAATATTTTTATTCAAAATAATTTTGAAATATAAAGACGAATTTGGATAGTTATAAACAAAAAAGTGTTTATATATAGAAATATAGCCACTATGCTCCCTACTTCGGGTTCAAATCAGACACTCGAAACAAATACCGGGACTGACTCATTGATAGTAGCTTTTAATATCAACGAAAAGATAGAAACATTGAAAAAAATTAAAGTCAGTCTTGTTACATAATCAACGCATAAACGTAAAAATCAGTGCACACAAATGATATGAATATAATTCATTTTACACTGTTGACTACTTCTTGATGATAAACACTACAATAATGAGTTTAAAATATTACGTTAATCACAAAACCGTTAACAGATTGTTTCAAGATTGACCTCGACATACATCAAACTAATTCGACAGGTAGTTAAAAAGTAAAATAGATTAATGTGAATAAGATTTTTCTGTCTTTTCATTTCTTCGAATATTCAAAACTGTATTTAAACAGTCCCAGTTACAAGTGGATACCTTTATATTATTCATAATGAAAGTAACATCCACGCAACTTCAACCGAAAAAATATGAACTAAAACTATCAACAGAAGCGAAATCAAGTACAGGAACCGACTAACAGATCATCCTACCATATAAAAAGACAGCACAACTACTGAGATCATTGAGAATAGGTGTAGCATACAAACCAACAGAATTACTACAATCAATCTTATGTAAACCAAAGGATAGAAAGACAAAAGAAGAAAAACCAAGCGTCATCTACAAAATAAACTGCTCAGACAGTGAAAAACACTTCATAGGACAAAGTTGACGGCCTCCTCAGTTTCCGTTGCGTAAACATCAATAAGTAGTCAAACGCCATGAAATTTCTTCCCTCATACATACGGACAAATATTCGATTGGAACATTGTTGAAATATTAGACAGTGGGAGCACATAGAACCCTAGATAATTTTTAGAAGCTTGGCATTCAATTCAATCAGCAATCAACAAACACATCGACAGAGACCCGATTTATCAACCAATCAGAAAAATCACAGAAAAACATAGGATCAAGAAACAGACCAAAAGGGGGATACAATCAAGACAAAGGTGCAAACAACGACAGGTTTAAGGTCAATAACGATCAACTGAGGTCAAGGTTAAGCGAACAAGATGCGAGTCACGTGTGGAGTAATTCGAACCCTTCACTGCTATCCTAAGTTTGTGCTGACGTTTTTTAGAAGTACGATGAAAAAGCTCCATAACCAAAACATCCAGCTCATAGAATGAAACTCCACCACATTCGTCCCCCCCAAGCTACAAATTTTCTCCACTATCTCAAAATTACAAAAGTTATCTATTCACACAATATGATCGTTAGACTTTGTGAAAAAAACAATGGAACAATCATTGCTTGATTCGGAAATCAATCAATCGAATCAATATTACTATAGTGATCAAATTATTTTCATAACTAATTCCCTTTGTTATTGGGTTCATTCAATGTTATCAACAGGAGGAACGGGTTTTAAACATTTTGCTTGTTAATAGCAAAAGTAATATAGTAATACAGTAATAATAATAGTAACAGTAAATTATTGAACTACATTTGTCAACACATCAAATGACCTAATTATTTTCAAAATATTGTTCAATGTTTCTAGGCTTAATTGTTTACTTCCTGTCATTGATCAGTGATAGTAATTTGTATATTATGAAAAATATTGTTTTCATTTATTTATTTACTCATTAGTAAATAAAAGTCAATTGAACTTAATTAAAGAACTGTATTGAGCACTAAGGAACCGACAGATAAATGTTTCATTCTAATAAACGATTCTTCAACAATGTATACTGGTAATCATGATATGTTTTAGGTTTATTTAATATCGATTCGGTATGCATTAATGTAAATCACATGTTTATGATTTAAACAACTTATTAGTCGTTTGACTGTTTGGATGCAGTAGGTAAATAGTGGATAGTGTTTCAAATGAAAAGTACTAAGTTTGAGTCACGAAGTGAATATTAACACTCTAGAATGCAAATAAATCTAGCTGACATGGAGAAATTCGAAAATTTCCCTTCTACTGTGAAGTTTTTGTGCTAATGATGTTGTCCAGAAGATGAATAAAAGCTTCACAACCAAAACATCACGCTCAAACAGAACCAAACTTTGTTAGACACCTGTTTGTTCAGAGTAGTTTAATGATTGAATAAAGACTAATATCTTTTCTCTTCTCTCAAATTCCAATCTTCTGGATTCCTCATGGCTATTTGTATCGTTTTTTAAATTTATTTCACTGACTCATATCTTAGATCCCTAACCTTTACTATTATTGTTAATACTTCTACTACCTCTACTACTATGGGATTTGAATAGACAATTCGATCTATGTGTGCTAATGTAGTATGGCAACTTGAACTGATGTACGTAGGTACGAAGTTCTACATTGTAGCTGACTGACTGACTGACTGAAGGACTAATGTTGTATACGCAAAGTCATTTTTAATGCTAACCGAAATCTATCAATTCATAATTGTAACCGATATCAATTTGATTATGACCGACTGATCTACCTACCATCTAGACAGTAATAATTTAGCAAAACCAGTCCGGTTAATTTTCATATATTTCAATGATACAACCATCATTTTCAAATTTTATTTTTAACATTAGTATAATCTTTGAAGTATCTTTTATATAGAACAATACCAATAATAGAGTTAAATCAAGTCTTTTCTGGAAAGAATAATATCATTCTCCATTATGTAGGTTAGGTATAGTGTTGTCAGTATGTTGATTTAAGTTATGCTTTTAAATTTCGTAAGCACACATCTATATTGTCACAGTTCATTCGGTTTAATGATTGTATAAAAACGTTTCATATAACATCGATTTGATGATGTCTGTTTTTTTTCTTTGGTTAAATTATATACAATTTATAAAATAAAAAAAATACACATAAACGGTTTACA